TGCCTCATAAATATAAAGGTCATATCTGCACTAGAAGACATATGAAAAGAAAAACTCTTGCTCAAAAGTAAAGGCTTAGTTCATGACTACAGATTCCCAGGAACTGTGTTCTTCATGCTGTAATTATACAGCAGCCTCAGTACCAATAATTGGTTCCTTGCACTCTTATTCCCCATTTTATCACATACCCTTTTTAAATATATACCATCAATAAGGAGTTAAAGATAGATGCCTTAGGTAGAGTGGATTGAAAAGATCATATGACTTATGCTCTTGCTATTGCCTCTGCTACATCATATAATTACTTTAAGAATTTTTTGCTTCATCCTTAAAACCTTTAGATCTTTCCCCCAGCCTTGTTTGGAAATGTGTTCTAAAACAGAATTTTTGATTGCAAAGATATTTCCACTAGCTCAGGGTAAGTGTTTTCCTGTTTGCTGCTGTACTGTGTTGTACTAAACAGCCCTCTCTTAGGGAAGTTACCTGTTGGGATGAGTTTTCTCCCCTGGGACTTCACAGATTCTAAGCACAGAAGGAGGTTGTCAAACCTCCTTTCAGTAGCTGCTTTATGTAATCTAAAGAAATTGTGCTGCCTTAGGCATTTCATGTTGGAATCTACTCCCCTGGTTATTGTAAAGGCTTTTTCCAGTTGTGATTTGTCTTCTGTGTGCCGTAATCAAGCTCGTATGCCACCACTAGTGGAAATGGAGTATGCTGACTTTTTGACATACTGATCAGATTAGTAATTCATCATTGTTTCTTTGGTCACATCTTTATACTGGAGCTCTTGGTTATTCCTTAATGAAGAGCTCCTGGCTTGTACCTAAAGTTACACACACTCGTTCGATTTGTACTATTTTCATTTATTTTATTATTCCAAATTTTATTGGAATAATAATGTTCTAATCTTCCCTTCCAAAATATTAGTTTCCTATTCGTATGTCATACGTTGTTATAGCAAATCTACTGATGAGGGTTTCAGAAAAATTTGGCTGATAAGCTCTCCAATGTTAAGGCTTTGTATCTATAAACAACCATTTGTTGTTACTTAGACAACTATTTTACTAATGACTGTGTTTTGTGCCTTCCACTAATGAATTAAGGAGCCATTATAGCAAACATTGAAGACCAGATAGAGAAATTTTCTAGCCAAATGAAGTGCAGTGTATTACATTAACAGAAACCATAAACCATAAATGCAGTCTTAGTATCTTTGGCAGAACTATAATCTCATAATCTTGTGTTCTGTTGTCTTCCAAACTTGATCAAAAGGCCTTTCATACCATCAGGTGAGGACTAGCATACTTCTTTTAACTCCAGCTAGTGTTTTTGTTTGTCTTGTAGACAAATTCAACATTTACTGTTCTCAAATAATAATCATAACAGTAGTAGGTGTCTGGACATTTCAAATGGCATGTTAATTTTGTAGAAATTTGCAGTTTCCTTCCATATCAGCTGAGAGAAGTTCATATTAGCTGATTTGACATCACTCCTCCGTGGGCATGTATCTATCTTGTCTTCTACTTTGTGTAGTACTCTTAATGGGCATTAACACTGAAGTTAGAAGTTCACCAGTTTGACTGTGCTGAGGTTAGTGTACATCTCTAGCAATAGTCACTGTTCTGTTTGTTCTTTCAACCCTGAGCTCCCATCCCTTTGGACATCCACATCTTCAGTTTTGATTTAATATGGTTTGTCAAAGGTCTCTTTTCTGAAATTGGCAGGCTAACTCCAGAGTACTACCGTTCCAAATGTCATTTATTATAGAAAAACACAAATACTAAATGCTTATTAAGACCACTTCATCTGAAGTCTGTTATTTATAAAAGCAAAGTGTAAGATCGAGAATACTGCACAGCAAATTTGTTTATAGATGCATAATATGACTATTCCTCATCATTCATAAGTAGATGGAGCTTATACCAGTCTTTTTTGTATACAATTTCATGTTACAGCCTACTTTTAAGTCCTTTTTATTTTTCCCTTCTTCTGTTCTGTTTCCCTGTAACTGGTCAAAAATTATGAAAAGTTCAAGTATCTTGATAATAAGACTGCCTGCTCATCCCAAATATGACTTTATTTGTTCATTGTATAATTTTCATTTGTTTGGACATCTCAGCTTGCTTGGTGCTCTTCAGCAGTGCAAGAAGCAAACATATTCTGTGGAAGAAGAAATTTATTTTTGTCTTCATTATTATCATTAAAAGTGACCAAAATTTGATGACTAAGCCTGGTCTAAATTCTGGGACTTGCAAGAGGATGAGTCTTACTGTAACCTTCTCAAAACACACCCATTTTCAATACAGACTGTATGTGCTAAACCACATCTGCAAGACAGTATTAGTATGACATCTAAAGTGAAGGAAATCAGGCTTGTAGTTAACACATCAAGTAATGATTAAGAATTTTTATTTGCCTTTTCAGTTCTGTTTAGTACTTATGGTGAATCTGGCTCTTTGCTAAGGCTAATCAAAGCCATATAGAGCCAGTCATAAGAGGGAAACAGCTTGCCAATTTTTTCCATGCATAGATTTACTGTCTCTTTAATGCTTGGGACCAACTTCGAAGAAAAAGAATGAGGAAGAAAATTACTTGTTCAGGTAAAACCTCTATCCTTGCGTACAGTGGGAGATATCTAAAGGAGAAATAAGGATTATGTCTCTTATTTCCCCTGACAATTTCAGTTGGAAATAAGTTTCTCAGTTTAGAAACTTTGGTAGTTTTTGTCTTTATTTCTAATTTGGGTCTACAAGTTGCTGTAATATTAATTAAAAAAAAAAAAAAAAAAGGGAAAAAAAAAA